GTTATGAAAAAAAATTGGAGATCGTCTTATAAAAAACATGATTCATACGCCTTAAGGAAGGGAGTGTTACTCAACGAGTTAGGAAGCATGAAAATAGATCAAATCCATAAGGTAAAAAGATAAAAATATGATCCCAACGAAATTAAAAGGGATTAGAAAAGTATAAAAGCACAACAGAGGGAAAATAAACCTGGAAAATCTATGATGGTTAAATAGGTAAATTAACGTACACATCAATGGGCAGATGTGCATGTTTTCACCTTTAACCCCTCTGGAAATTGGACTTCACGTTACTCTGAATAAGACCATAGCATTGTGTCATAGACTGATGCAAATTTCTTTTTCTAATTTTCACTTGTGTATCAAATAATGGTGCGTTTCATATTCAGTGACACACGGTGTCAAAGGAGTCCATTCAGTGATATAGTTGGTATCGAATAACTAATATTTTGGAGCTTTTCCCAAGATGATAAAACCAAATACAAACCTATTGTCATCAAGTCGATTCTCACTCATAGTGACCCGAATTGTGCTCCATAGTGTTTTCAATGGATGTGATCGTTCAGAAGTAGATTTCCAGGTCTTTCTTCTGAGGTGTTTCTGGGATGATGTGAACTACCAACTTTCAGTTAGTAGTTGAGGACTAAACCATTTGTGTTACCCATAAAGGTAAAAAATAAACAAAAACAAAAATGAAGAAAACATACATGACAACTCTGAACCTTCTGAAGAAATCAATTCTCCTTAAATTTATCTATCTGTTCAATTCAGTCATATACAAAATAAATTTTTTAAAAAGTATACTTTCCTATCTGGTCCTAAACTATGTATAGCTGTAACTTTTTAAAATAATGTTTTCAGGTAGGTGTGCTTATTAACAAGGAACCCTGGTGGTGCAGTTGTTAAAGCAATTGACTGCTAACCAAAAGGTCAGTGGTTTGAAACCACCAGCGGCTCTGTGGGAGAAAGATGTGGCAGTCTCCTTCCGTAGAGATTTACGGCCTTGGAAACCCTATGGAGTCACTATGAGTCGGAATTGACTCGACAGCAGTGGGTTTGGTTTTGGTTTTGGTGCTTATTAACCTTTCAGTATAATCAATTAAAGAGGTGGCAATGAAGGTATAATTTAGAGTTAAGGAGGAGAAAAAAAGAAATGAAAGACAGGGATATAGTACCTCAATCATTCCGAAAGAAGGCAAGAGAGTAGAGAATCAAAAAGAACACCACACAGACGCAAATATGTAGAATACTGGTCTCTCATATATCGTTGGCTCTAATCACGATGCAATTAAATGGAAGTTTCAAACAACAATCTAGGAGAAAAAACTATCATTTGGAAATTTTAAAAATAGATATATAAATAAATTTTAAGGCAAAGGAAAAAAGTTAATGTGCACATAAGGAAATAAAAAGTAATTCATTGTTCAATATAAGTATCAAAATTTGTATGTTGCAGCTAAAACGGTCATAGAGAAAGACAGTGGATCTTCATTATTCCCACTTTCCACATTTGTGAATTCACTTACGACAAAAAGAAATCCACAGTTATGTGAAAATTAAACAATACTCTTCTAAACAACCAAGGGATCAAAGAAGAAATCACAATGGAAATTACAAAATACTTTGAGAGGAAAGCAAATAAAAACGTAAAACTTCTGGAATGGGTCTAAAGCAGTTCTTAACGATACACTTATCACTGTGTCTATATTAAAAATAAAAAGATCTCAAATCAACTACTTAACTTCACACCTTAAGGAACAAGAAAAGGCACAAACCAAAACCAGTGCAAGCTGATGAAAGGAAATAATGATTAGTGTGGAAAGGAGTGAAAATGAGAATAGGAAAATAGACAGAAATCAACAAAACCAAGAGGTGGTTTTTTTAAAAATGTCTTAAAAATTGCAAGTCTTTAGCTAGAGTGAACAAACAAAAAAAGAGAAATAGAGAAGAGGTAATTTTCTAAACTCAAAAATGAAAGATCAGCCTCACAGAAATAAACAGATCAGAAGGGAATGCTCTGAATAAATGTATGCTGATGAAATGGACAAATTCTTAGGAAGACACAGATTACCCAAATGGCTGCTTCAGCCACAATTTCTTTGTCAGATAAATCAATAATACCTTCCTCTTTCTTTTTCTGAAAATCAGAGGAAGCAAAATTCAGTGAGATGGAGGCTCATTCTACTAGGCGCAAGACACCACAGTGAGTCCTGGCTCTCGTGGTCTCAGTGTTTCTCTCACAACTAGTCCCTATTCTGGATTAGGCATCCTTGAGAATTATAAGAAAGGAAACACTCCACTGTGAAAAAGTTCCAGCTTTGAAATTTAATATATAAACAATAGTTTCCATTGGTGGAACACTCATTTTTACAGAGAAAAAACCCTATGAGAGAACAGGCAAGATGATCAAGAATTAATAAAATACAACAGTTTTAAAAATGAGTCCTAGGCCCACAAAACCTAGGAAGTAAGAGGACCTGAGTGTTTAAGAAGGTGGATCTTAATAGTCAGTCACACAACCACCATGGATTCTGCTCTACCTGCACCACAGATCTGGATCTATGACTTCCTCTGGTGTCTCTGGGGACATGTCAGATTGGATCCACAGGTGTTTGGCCTTTCATGAGGAAGGAGGTAAAGTGAAAATTTTTAACAGAAAGATAGTATCATTAAAATAAATGCTGAGTAATTTTTTAAGTCAATGTACTGTTTTGCAAGTCTGAAATGATTTCAAAACAAAAATATGGGGGCGTGGGTGGGAGTGAAAATAAGCTTTGTGTTTGAGTATCCCAAAGATAACAATCCTGAGAAAAAGTTACCAGTCAACCAGTTTAAAGTAGTAATTAAAAGCCTGAGGTTGGGTGGAAGCTGATTTACAGACTAACCTTGAACTATATGTTTTTACCATAAAACCAAACAGGTTGTTGACCCGCTCTTCAATGGTCCTCTCCAGATCCTCACCAAGGATCAGAACTTTTCAATGGTTGCTGATTTCATCCATTCTGCACGTCTGAGCTTCCTCAGTTGTATCCTCCCCCCAATCCTCCTCCTCCTCTTCTTCCTGTTTACAGAAACACTTGGCCAAAAACTTTTAAAATAGGAAAAATATCAGATTTTCAGTGACCATGAAGAGGCATTCTACTGTGTGGATCATAACAAATTATAGACAGCATTGCAAAGAATGGGAATTCCAGAACACTTAATTGTGCTCACAAGGAACCTGTACATAGACCAAGAGGCAGTCATTCAAATAGAACAAGGGGACACAGCGTGGTTTAAAGTCAGCAAAGATGTGCGTCAGGGTTGTATCCTTTCACCATACTTATTCAAGCTGTATGCTGAGCAAATAATCCAAGAAGCTGGAGTCTGTGAAAAAGAACAGGGCATCAGGGTTGGAAGAAGACTCATTAACAACCTGCATTATGCAGATGACACATTGCTTGCTGAAAGTGAAGAGGACTTGAAGCACTTACTGATGAAAATCAAAGACCACAGCCTTCAATGTGGATTACACCTCAACATAAAACAAAAATCCTCGCAACTGGACCAATAAGCAAAACCATGATAAACGGACAAAAGACTGAAGTTGCCAAGGATTTCATTTTACTTGGATCCATAATCAACACCCATGGAAGCAGCAGCCAAGAAATCAAACAACACATTGCATTTGGCAAATCTGCCGCAAAAGACCTCTTTAAAGTGTTAAAAAACAAAGACGTCACCTTGAAGACTAAGGTGCACCTGACTCAAGCCATGGTGTTCTCAATTGCCTCATATGCATGCAAAAGCTGGAGAATCAATAAGGAAGACCAAAGAGGAATTGAAGCCTTTGAATTATGGAGTTGGCGAAGAATACTGAATATACTATGGAGTGTCAAAAGAACAAACAAATCTGTCTTGGAAGAAAACCAGCAAGAATGCTCCTTAGAAGCAAGGATGGTGAGACTTTGTCTTACATACTTTGGACATGTTATCAGGAGGGATCAGTCCCTGGAGAAGGACATCATGCTTGGTAGAGGGTCAGCAAAAAAAGATGAAGACCCTCAATGAGATGGATTGACACAGTGGCTGCAACAATGGGCTCAAACATAACAACAATTGTGAGGATGGTGCAGGACCGGGCAGTGTTTCCTTCTGTTGTACATAGGGTCGCTATGAGTTGGAAGCGACTCCATGGCACCTAACAACAACAACAGCATTCAGTTCATTTTCCACTAAAATAAATTGGGTTCATCTTAGTTCAAGCAATCAACAGGACTAGAAATAAACATGTTATTGTCATGTTACACTGAAAGCTAGTTTCATGATTTCTGCCCACCTCAGCCAATGCTTTTGACTTTGCCCAACTCAAGAGCCCACCCGCCATCACCCGGCTGTCACCACAGCATGGGAAGGAGGATGATTTCCTTTGGAGGTGGAGGTGGTGGTGTCTCACTACTGGACACGGAGCCATTTTCCTTGTCTTTGCCCTTTCTGTTTTCCTTTTCTTTTTTTCCTGTACCACTGTCACTATTCTCTACGGGGAAATAAAAGTTTAATCCCACATGTTACATCACCTCAGTAACCATTAGAAACATCTAAAACCCTGGTGTTTTGCATCATATACACCCCTGGTTTGAAGAGTCCAATGAATGCTATGGACACCTTCCCTTAGAAAACCGCAGACAAAAAAATGTTTACCTGTAATTCTAACAGGCTTCACAGATCGAATTTATGTACCATATTTCACAGGTTAAGAAACTTAGGCTAAAAGTAGAGTGACTCAAAATACTAGTAGTAGAATTAATATTAAATATAGAGGTACTTTTAGTTCCCATTCTTCCACTTTTATTTAGTCTTCCAGAAATTTCTAAAAACTTAACTTTTAGATAAGATTAGAATGAAGTGTTGATGGTTCAAAGATCAGATAGTGAAAATTGTCCCTATGACCTCTAGCCTCTACCCCTCATGAACCTGGAATAAGACCAAATCTCAACTAGGCTTTAGCCAACAGCTCAGATACTGTTTAAGTCTATATAATGGCTTGCCCTACCGAGGAGAGAACACCGGAGTAGGTTAGACTTTCTTGCTATAGCAAGCGCAAATTGTGTCAGAGTGTTTTGATCATCTGCCACAATGTTGCTTGCATAAATTTAAGCTTATGAGCCAAGCACCCTATTTATAAAATCAGCATCCCGAAATTCAGCAGTAGATCCTTTGTTTGCTAGGATCCCATCAATCCATTTTACAGTACTTTATTTCATCCATTCTAAAATGTCACTTTGAGGAATAAGGTGCACCAGACCCAAGCCATGATATTTTCAATCGCCTCATATGCTTGTGAAAGATGGACATCAGCAATGATATCCCTTGTTCCATGTCCTCTTCTGAATCTGGCTTGAATTTCTGGCAGTTCTGTCCATGTTCTGCTGTAACTGCGTTTGAATGATCTTCAGCAAAATTTTACTTGTGTGTGATATTAATGATATTGTTCGATAATTTCCACATTCTGTTGGATCACCTTTCTTTGGAATGGGTACAAATATGGATCTCTTTCAGTCGGTTGACCAGGTAGCTGTGTTCCAAATTTCTTGGCATAGATGAGTGAGCGCTTCCAGCACTGTGTCATTTGTTGAAACATCTTAATTGGTATTCCATCAATCCTAGAGCCTTGTTTGTCGCCAATGCCTTCAGTGTAGCTTGGACCTCTTCCTTCAGTACCATCAGTTCTTGATCATACGCTACCTCTTGAAATGGTTGAACGTTGACCAATTCCTTTTGGCACAATGGCTCTGTGTATTCCTTCCATCTTCTTTGGATGCTTCCTGCATCGTTTAATATTTTCCCTGTAGAATCCTTCAATATTGAAACATGAGGCTTGAATTTTTTCTTCAGTTTTTTCAGCTTGAGAATGCTCAGCGTGTTCTTCCTTTCTGATTTTCTATCTCCAGGTCTTTGTACATTTCATTATAATACTTTGTCTTCTGGAGCTGTCTTTTAAAATCTTTTGTTCAGCTCTTTTACTTCATCATTTCTTCTGTTCGCTTCAGCTGCCCTATGTTAAAAAATAAGTTTCAGAGTGTCTTCTGGTCTTTTCATTTTGGTACTCCGTTTTATAGGTCACATTTGACATAATTTGCATTAATCTCTGACACCCAGATACTAACAGGAAATGCACCAGAATCACACATTGTCACAAACTCCTTGCCCTGCACAGGACACTACTATTTCTATGAATAGTTTCCATCCATCTCTTCATCCACCTCACTTTAAGGTGTGCAAATGCTTACATTTCCCTGAAATTCCGATGGAAGGAAGAACATTCCCGAGACACTGCCCTAGCAGCGGTCTCCACTGAGCCCCGGAATAACCCCAGTCGGCCCTGAAGGGGAACAAACTAACCAGAGAAACTTACAACCCTCGGCAAGGAGAACAAAAAGGGTGAAAAGGAATCTTCGTTTTACATTTAGAGGAATCTGCGGCCCTGAGCCTGATACAGTTGGGGCGATCGCAGGGGGTGGTTGACCAGGTACCCGGCCCGCCTCCTCGAGACTCACTGTGTCCCAGGGCGTATCCACCTCCCAACACAGTCCCCATGACCCTCTCTCTGGGCCTGTCCATCTCCCTTCAGGCCCCGGTGATCTTCTCCCCACCATGTCCACCCCCCTCACAGTCGCCGGTGACCCTCTCCCCGCTGTGTCCACCTCCCCTCAGTCCCTGGTGACCCTCCCCGCCGTATCCACCTCCCCTCACAGTCCCCATGACCCTCTCTCTGGGCCTGTGCACTTCCCCTCAGTCCCCGGTGACCTTCTCCTCCCCACCATGTCCACCCCCCTTACAGTCCCCGGTGACCTTCTCCCCGCCGTGTCCACCTCCCCTCAGTCCCCAGCGACCCTCTCCCCACAGTGTCCACCTCCTCTCACAGTCCCCGGTGACCAGCTCCCCGTCAGGTCCACCTCACCCGGTCCAGGGCCGCTTCCCCTCACAGGCTCCGGCGTCCTCTCCGCGCCTCCCAGCGCCCTGACCACCCGGCCCGTGAAGAGACCCTGGGGGCTGGTCCCCTCGTCCGTTCGTCTCTCCCCTCAGGGCGGGTGTCTTCACCCGGGGCAGCGCGCACGGCCACTTCCAGCTGGTACACCCCTTGCCAGGTCTCAGACACCCGGCCTCGCGCTCACCATGTCCGGCTTCTGCAGATCTCCCTGCGTCCTATTCCTGGGAACAGGGATTTCAAATCCCGGACTTGCGCAGCCCTTGCTCTGGTAGGATTAAGAAAAGTCTTCCCGCCCCTTCTTCCTGATTGGACAGTGACCCCCCCGATCCCGCCCCCTTAACGCCTGACAGGACAAAAATTCAGGCAGGCTCACCTCTAGAGAGCTGAATGACAGGAGACCGGGAGCACACGTGACCTAGGGGCGTGGCTTCCTCCTGGTCCTGTCCCGTGGACCTCGGCATTTGACGCATGCGCTCCGGGCGCGGGAGGATATCAGTGTCTCGCCGCAGCTGCGCGGCGTCCTGCGTCTCCTCCCTGGTTGCAGCGACACAGGCGCAGACTCGGCTTCCAGGGGACCGACTCCTCGTCCAGAGCAGGAGGGGCGCCTAGGCGGGGAGAGGAGGGCCTGGTGTCCCCGGGACCAGGGTTTGGACGGGGCTGTGGGGCCACCCAGTGTCCTCAACACATACACTAAAAAACATTATCTTGGATGAATTTTCAGGGAAAATGTTATTCCTAGTTTGCACTCGGAATCTTGCTTGTTTATTAAGTTCATTAAAACAGATGTATTTCCAGTCTAAGACCAGAATAACTAGATGATGCCCAGCTACCACCAATGACCGCCGTGACGGGGAACACAACAGAGTCCCTAATGGAACAGGAGAAAGGTGGGGTGCGGAACTGAAATTCTAGTAAAAAGACCAGACTTAATGGTTTAATTGAGACTGGAGGTACCCTGGAAGACACGGCCCCCGGGCTCTCTGTTAGCCCAAAACTAAAACCATGCCTGAGGCCAACTCCTCAGACAAAGATTAGACTGGACTATGGGACAGAAAATGATACTCGTGAAGAGTGTGCTTCT